TTATTTTGCATAAGTGGAACTTGGTACCCTCTGACCATCATTTCCCCATTTCCACTCCCCTCACTCCCTGGAAACCACTGTGCTACTCTGTGTTCATATAAATTCGACTATTTCAGATTCCACGTGTAGGTAACATCATATAGTGTTTGTCTTTTTGTGTCTGGCTTATTTCATTTAGCATAATGCCCTCCAGGTCCATACACATTGTTGCCAAGGGCAGGATTTCCTTCTTTTCTAAGACTCCTGAAAGTTTTTCAGATGTCCTCTTTTCAAACTCCCGACCTCAAGCGATCCTTCTGCCTCCCACCTTATCTCCCTACTAGGATTACAGGTGTGAGCCACCACATCAGGCCAAGATGTCCTCTTTTCTGCTTGGGGGTATATTCTATTCTCACAATATTTCTGTCAACCCAGGCTGACACTCTGAAAAATAGTGAGCCCAGCCAAGTTTTTCTGCCTGTGCTGAGACAGTGCTGTGATTTATAAGGGCTTTTGCTCTTGAAGGCTTTTCTTGAATTTATTTTCTTGAGTTGTTTTCTTCTACTCTTGAAGGTTTTTCTTAAATTATTTCCTCTGAGTTGATTACTTCCTCACTCACACGGCCTCTCTCCAGCTGGGGAAGGGGGTGTAATTTAGGAGAATGTATACAATTTTATTAACTAGGCTTTTTGTCTATTATCAGGCATCAGGCCACCCCCAGATTTTTATGTTCTTCCTACCCTTTGGCCCCCTGGCTCAACCTCTTTTTCAGGTTGTCAACAGATAACCTTTGATTACTAAAAGTCATTATTACTTCATGTGTATGCTGGGGGAGTAGTTCTGTGACAGAAGCAGCTAATTATTCACCACAATCCTTCATCCTTAAATAATAAATAGTTCCCCAGTTCTAGGTGGGTTCACCGCCACCCAGTTAAAAGCTACATTTCCCAGCTTCCCTTGCACCTGGGTGTGGCCATATGTCTGAGTTCTAACCAATGGGATGTGAGCAACAGTGATTATGCCATTTCTAGGTCATGCCCTTAAATGGAGTGAGTGGGTGCTCTCCTTTCTTTCCCCCCTTCTCACTGACCAGGATCCTAACATGATGGCAGAAGCTAGAGCAGCCACCTTGGGATGCAGGGATGGAAGCCACATGTGGAGAATAGCAGAGATACAGTACCAGCTCTGGACTGCCTACCTTAGCACTATTATGTAAGAGAAAATCAAAATTCTACTTTGTTTAAGTCACAAAAGTTTTGAGGTCTTTGGCTACCTGGACTATATCCTAAGTAGTACAGCTTCACACTACTAACTTTATCCAGAAGCCTCCACTTCCTCTTTATCTCAAATGTTATGTCTTATGTCCACATTTTAAAAAATTAAGCTGTTACCTAGTGGTTCAACTCACTTTTTTCAAAAAGCCAGCTATATGAGTTATTTATTTTAGTGTGCTTATTATTTTAAGAGTATTTTGGCCACCTTTACATTTCCATAACTTTGAAACCATTTACAGAATTATGGGGCAACATCCTTTTCTCCTCAACATTCTTTCTACATTGTTCCAGTCCTTATGCCATCTAAAATGCCCGGGAAAAAAATCAGGCCAGTCTCATTTTATTCCCCTTACTAAATGGTCCGCTTCAGCTATCCAAATGTTCCTACTAGGAATCTTTTGTTGGGAACTTCACAAGAGCTATTCTGGTCTCAGTGATTTCTTAACTCAGTTTGCCTGGAATATAGTCCAATTGAGGGGTTTTTTGTTTATGTTTTGAGACAGAGTTCATTCTGTCACCCCAGCTAGAGTCCAGTAGCTGCATCCTTGAACTCCTGGGCTCAAGTGATCCTCCTGCCTCAGCCTCCAAAGGAGCTGGGACAACAGGTGCACACCACTGTGCCCAGCTCAAAGTGGGTTTTTTAGGTTTTAGAAATGACTCTGTTCTTTTGTTTTTGACTACTCTTCCGTTGTCATCAGGGATTCTGTCTGTATGTTGAATCAATATAACTGTCCCACACATCTGTGATTTCTCTCCATCATCTCATCTCTCTACCCAGCTTTATTCTGTGATACTCTTGTCATTTTTATCATGTGATATTCTCCATCCTATCATCTACATCACTGACTGTTTTCTGTCATGTCAGCTCCACATCTTGTGATTTCCCGGTAGTTAGTGGATTTTTCTTCTGTTTCTTTCTTTATAATTTCCAGTCCCTTTTTCATCTTGTTTTTTTCTCTAGTTTAGTATTTCACAGGATCCATATTATATTTAATTTCCTTGAGAGTACAGAGAAGATGCTTGTCAAATATTTTTTTCTATTTCTTGGAATCATTTCACTCATAATATATAACTCATTATACATATTTTTCTCCTGACATTCTTTGGGAAGAGAGAGTAGTATCTTACATAGATTTCATTGTATATGGATTATATATCTTTACTATAAATAGTGACTATATTTTAGTTTTTCAAAAATGTTTACCTTGACCAGCCTGGGCAACATAGTGAGACCCTGTCTTTAGGGAAAAAAAATTAAAAATTAACTGTACAGCAGAGGAAAAAAAAAAAAGGTTAGACACCCTTGCTAGAGTTTCTATATTAGGGGCTAGAGAACCAAGCTAAACATCACCACAAGGATGCAAACAGACAAATCTAGAAGGTGGAACATTCTGTAAGACAACTCATTTGCTTTCAGTAGTCAGTGTCCTAAAAATGGGACTATACTAGATTAACTCAGGGAACACGTGTAGTCCTAGATTGGGTATTGATTTGGATAAACCAGCTATAACAATAATCTGAGCAAATTAGAGAAATTATAATATGTATGGAAATTGGATGAGATAAGATGAAAATATACTGAAATACAAAAGCAGAGGGTGTTAACTGAATGACACAGATTATTAAAAAGTTACAAAACAACTTTAGAATATGATACTGCTTTTTTGGTTTTGTACACGTACACACATAGTTGTTGCAGTGAGGCTCTCCAGGAGGTAGTAAAAAGCTGGGTGATTGCTTTTTAACTTGTTTCTAATGTTTGACAAAGCATAGCATATGCGCTGCTTATGTAATAATAGAAAGTTTTAAATAGTGACATAGATTTAAATGAGACAGACTTATTGTGAAGTTAAGCTTCAGGGCCTCTAACTCCACATGGGTGTTACAAGGCTCTAGGAGGACCTCTAGCAATTTTGTATTATATTTTTGTCCGGGTTTGATTTTATTCTTAAAGGTCTAGCACCTTTTTAGTAAGGTGGTTTATGTTGTGGTAAAATATACACAACATAAATGCACCATTTTAACCATTTTTAACTGTATGATATAGTGGGTATTAAGTACGTTTACATTTTTGTACAAGCATCACCACCATCTATCTCTAGAACTTTTTCATCTTCCAGACTGAAACTCTGTCCCCATAAACAGTTAACTCCCTATCCCTATCTCCACTCAGTCTTCTTATTTTTAAGGGTTTCCAAAGTTATATAAGCTTTATGTTCCTTAAAATCTGGGTCCAGCCCCAACTTACAACCAGATATCCTGGCAACTCCTGTCCAAGCTTTGAAATGACCCTTTGTACTGAAAAAGTGGCTTTATCCTCAAACCAAAGGGCCATCGACATAGTTAAAGATATTGTCAACAAAGTGCTCATCACCAAATATGCAAAGAGCAGTGATTGTGGCAGCATCAATATTACTAAACACATAAGGATTTCTCCCAGAAATTACACCTAACATTTGGGTTTACATCTCTTTTGCTAGGACATAGTCCTAGACAGGGCTACTCCTCCCAGCCTTACCTAGCTGCAAGGAGGGAGGCCAGGAAATACCTTTCTTCCAGAAGAGCTTGTGCTCAACTGCAAATCTGTTATTCTATTACTAAAGAAACAGAGTAGATATTGGGATAGAAAGCTAAGCATCTCTCACGTGGTTTTTATTTTGTTGTTTTTTTCTTGTTATATGGTTTTCAAAAGACTCAATGTGCTAGTTTCTGAGATTTGGCGGGGACAAGGAGGAAGAGGTAGACATCGGAAAGTACCATTCATACAATTGCTTAGCATCTTGTTGAGAACTAAATACTTCACTCACAGTTAGCTTTCCAGACTGGGTGCTCAAGCCTTCTTCCCTGAGGGTTAAGGAATACCATAGAAGTGGGCTGAACAGACTTGTATGAAAAAAAGAAAAGGTCCCCTTCCCAATTGATTTTTGGATACTGCATGGCCAAATATATCCAAACTGCATGTCTAAACCAATAAGCTTTATTGTTGTGGTTAAGCCTTGACTATGAAAAACATTATCAGTTTATTAATTACCATCACTTTTGCACTGTGTGTTCCCTTTCCAGGCTGTTCCTAGGGAAGTGCAAACCACAGGATGTGGTCTCTGACCCTATCCTTAGAGAATGTGACCCTGGAGGACAATTTCCCCATGTGGTAAGCAGAAGATGAGCTGCTCATTGGGTTCAACTCCTCCCAGCTGGCACCCTCACAGGATCAGCCTCTGGGTAAGAAACTAATTACTTCTCCTGCCCCTTCAGTTTGACCTCCTATCTAAGGATAGTAAACCCTGCTAAAGGAGCCAGCCCGCTGTAGCAGAGCGTAGAGCAGACTCCAACTGCCCTGTAACAGTTTCCATAACCAGAAAAGACTACTGCAGATCAACTAGGGTGTGGGGGGCCCACATCACTCACAGCTCCAGAAGCCTGGATTTTCCGTGGACAAACAGTCCTTAAAGTCCATTGGAGTAGGTTGCATTCAGAGTAAGGGAGGGTTAAAAGGCAGGGAGGACATTGTCCTATCAGTTGCAGAGGAGCTTCCTGACAGCTCTCCTTCCTTTCTGTCTGCCTAACTCACTGCTTTCTCAGCAAGTTCTGGAAGGGCTATGTCCTGGGGACCCAACAAGACATGGGGAGTGTCAGGGCATTAATAAGTCACAAAAGCACTCTGGGAGGAAAGGGAGGCTCCTCTCCATTTCCCTTTCCTGTAGGCCTGCCCTGGTTTTTCGTGATGTCATCCATTCATCATTGTGAGCTGATTGGTGGTCCCAGGGCTTGGCCAGCTGCCCAAGGCCAGGAGGGAAGAGAGAGATCCCAGGACAAAAGTGCAGCAGGCCCCTGAGCATGTGTAGAAATGTCATCAGTTCCACCTACAAAGACTTGGTGGAAATCAAAGAAGACAGTAAAAGTCACAAGATCCTATCCAACCTTCCCTTCCCTGACTGCCTGGGAAGAATTCAGGGGCCTCTTGCGTGTGGATGGGGAACCGAATCCTGGAGTAGGCCTAGGTGTGGAGGAAGGACTGCTCTGCCAGAAGGTTCATTCTCCAGAATTCAACCTGTTTCCTGACTCAGTGGTGTTTGAAAGCAATTTTGTCCAGGTACTCTTGGGTGGCTCAGAATAGCACTTCTTGATTCTTTTAAACCTGTTCCCAAATGTGGCCAAGAAAGTCCATCCCTGGAACTAGAGTGGAGTGAGAACTAAGGCCAGAAGTTATCCAGCCTATAAGGTGAGGCCACCACAATTACCTGGGCTTTGCAAAGCCCAGACAGGGCTACTGCTGCACACAGCTGTCACCTGGGGAGAGAGGTCAGACTTCTCTGCTCAGAGTGGAGGTTTGGTATTCAAATCCCCAGTTTCTTCATCCCTCACGCTGTTACCTAAAGTAGATGAACAAAAAGGCAGTGAATAAATAATTGCCTTTTAAGGATTAGGAACAGAAATGCAGATCAGAAACAGGACCTGAGTACCAGAGAGACCTGAGCTCAGATTCCAGTCCTCTGCTTTCCCCTTTCCCCTTAGGAGGCATCATCGTGCAAGTAACCTGAGCACCCTGAATCTGTTTCCTCTACCATAAAAGGGTCAGATTGACCTGAAGATTAAATGCAAATACAGCAAGCAAAGTCCCTAGTCTAACAGGCACTCAGTGCATTTTTGTTTCCTTACCTGGGCTCTCCTCAGGCCAGGTAAAACCGGAACAAACAGAACTTTGCAGTTGGAAGGGACCTTCATGTTCAGTGGAGGTGCAGGAAGTAATAGGACCCCTCAGAGATGGGCTAAGAGGACAAATTTGCCAATGATAGGCCAGGCAACAGTCCCGGGAAGATTCATCGAAATATAATAGATGCCAGAGAACCCCTGGGTTCTAGTTCTTGTGGGCAATTATTAATAGTAGGTCATTTAAATATAATTATAGTTCTTTAACCAATATAAGTTAAAACAGTGGTTTCCAACAAGTAGTGACTTTTGTTTCTCACTGGCAGGGGATATTTGGCAATGTCTGGAGATATTTTTGGTTGTCACAACTTGGATTTGAGGGAGAGGGGTTACTACTAATATCTGGTGTGTAGAGACCAAGGAAGCTATTAAACATTCCACAATGAATAGGGCAGCCTCCCCACCTCCACCAGCAAAGAATATCTAGCCCAAAACATTAATAGCGCCGAGGTTGAGAATCCCTGGCTAAAACATACTGCTGCTTTTGCCAAATGCTCAGGCTGTGCCTGGGGGCTGCATTGCAGGTCAAAAGGAGCAGGAATTGGATAGACATCTACAAGGCCTCCTACACCATGGCCCTTGGAGTGACCTCCTCTGTGCCCTGCCTGCCCCTTCCCAACATCCTCCTCATGGCCAGTGTCAAATGGCACCAGGGGCAAAGCCAGACATGGAACAGACCATCTATTGCCCCAAACATCATCCTGAAGAGGTAAGCAACAAAGATGAGAATGGAGGACATGAGGGGTGAAGTGTGGACACAGAGCAGAGGCTGCTTGGTGACTAAACTGTGGATGGAAAGAAAGCAGAGAAGGCATCAGGAGTGACATTGTTTCAGTCGACAGTAACTGGAGACAGGTGGTGCACTGGAAGGACAGAGGCCAAGGGGGGTTGAGGAAAGAGTCACATGGACAGGCGAGCTGGCCAGTCTACACGCCCACTTCCCTTCTCACTGCACTCACCCCCCTGAACTCATAGGAAAGCTCTTGGCATTTGGCCAAGAGGGAAGGAAGCACAGAGGTCTGGCAGAGCCAACACTGGTTGGGAGAGGCAGGTTCTTTCTAGTCCTTGGTAGACAGTTGACTAAATTCAGTTTCTGAGTCCCAAGTCATCTGTAGCACCTCAGTTTTCCTACTGGTAAAATCAGTGGGACTAAGTCTCACTTAAAACTGTAATATATAGTGATACCATGCTCGTCTGGGTTAAAACAGCCCTTTTCGATGTTTAGGCCTCTTTGAAAAATCTCTAGATGGTCGCAGAAGTCCAAGAAAACACTTCATTTCTCCACTTTACTGTAATGACAAACCTCTTCATTTTGTTATTAGTGTACCCCTAGCAAGTACCACCCAGTCCCAGCTGACTAATATTAGATCCAAAGCCAACTCCTTAAACCTTAGATCCTTTGGAGCAGCGGTTCTCAACCTGTGGGTCATGACCCACAGGAACTGTATTAAAGGTTCGCGGCATTAGCAAGGTTGAGAACCACTGCTTTGGAGTAATCAAGGCACTAAGGTCAATGAATGGATAAGCTGAACAGTGGAGCCACCTCCCTTGGTGCTATCAAGAAGGAAACTGCAAAACCCTATGACTCTCGCCACCTTACTCCTAGGCTGTTTCTCTCAAGCAGGGTCCAGAAAACACCAGCAGGAGAATCATTCCAGGGCCACACCCCAGACCTACTAAACAGAATCCTTGAGGGTGAATTCAGGTGTCTGCATTTTAAACAACCTCCCCAGGTATATCTGATCTACCCAATGTTTCAGCACCACTGTGCTAAGCACCCTTTATCCTACCTCCAAAGCCTTAGTCCTAAAGGAGACATTCCTTGTTTTAATGAAGATAGAGTCAGATCAGAAGCAATGAGATTGTCAATATGTGTCTTCCCTGGTGCCTTCAGGATTCTCCCATTGAAGTTTGTGGAGCTCCAGGTCTGTGACCGCCTTCAACGCATCCTGCGGTTGAGGACAGTCACTGAGAAGATCTATTACTTAAAGCTCCACCCCAACCATCCTGAGTGTGTCTTCCACTTCTGGACCCGACTGGTTCAAATTCTGCAGAAAGGTCTGTCCATCACCACCAAAGACCCTAATATTCTTGTCACTCACTGCCTGGTACCCAAGAACTGCTGCAACCCCTCAGGAGACGCTAAGGTAAGTTGAGCACCAATGCCAGCCTTCTGCCAAGGCCAGACCTGAGAGGCAGATCTTATGCTAGCTGCTATGTGAGCACCCTGTGAAGGTGACCTCAGTCTTATGCCTTTTCTAAATGCCTTTACTGAATTATCATTTACAATCATAAAATACTCATTGTATGTGTACAGTCCAGGACTTTCAGTAAATGTATAGAATTGTGCAACTGTCACTACAATCCAATTTTAGAACATTTCCATCACCCTAAAAAATTCCCTCTCACTCATTTGCAGTTGTTCCTTGTTCCTACTCCTGGCTCTAAGCAGCCATTCATCTATTTTCACCTCTATAAAGTCATCATTTTTTAGACATTTCATATGAATGAAATCCTACAATATACCATCTCTTGTGTCTGGCCTCTTTCCCGCAGCATAATATTTTTCAGGTTTATCCATCTTGTAGGATGGGGCCAAATCTGGGGCAGAGGCACAGCCTATCAGTGGTTTGTTCCTTTCAATTGCTGAATAGTATCCCATTGTGTAGATTTGCCACATTTCATGTGTCTGTTCACTAGACGATGGACATTTGGATTGTTTCCAATTTGGGGCTATTATGAAGAATGCTGCTAGGAAAGTTCCTGCACACTTTTTTGAGATATATGTTTCCATTTGTCTTGGATAGATTCCAAGGAATGAAATTTCTAGGTTATGTGGTAAGTTTATGTTTAACTTTTAAAGAAATTGGCAGTTTTCCAAAGTGGCTACACTATTTTATATTCTCACCAGCAATATATGAGGGTTTCAGTTTCATGTTTTTAATGATATCAAGGAGTTGAAAATTTTAATTTTGATGAAATTCAATTTACCAACTTATTCTTTTGTAGATCAGATTTTTGGTGCATATCTAAGAACTCTTTGTTCAACCTAAAGTCACAAAGAGTTTATCCTATATTTTCTTCTAGGAGTTTTGTAGACTTAGTTCTTACATGTAGCTCTGTGATCCATTTTGAGTTAATATTTACACATGGAATGAAGAGTCTAAGTAGTAGACTATCCTTTCCCTATCAAGTTGTCTTGGCACCTTTGTCAAAAATCAAAATATAAGAATTTATTTCTGCATTCTCAGTTATTTTCTTTTGATCTATTTTGCCCATTCTTGTGCCAATACCACAATGTCTTGATTAATGTAGCTTTATGTTAAGTTTTGAAAATAGCTGGTGTAAGTCTTCCAGTTTTTTTCTTTTTCAAATTATTTTGGCTATTCTAGATTTTCTGAATTTCCATATAAATTTTAGGATCAGTTTTGCCAATTTCTAGTGACATCTTTGTGATACTGTGGCTTTGGTATCAAGTTAGTACTTTTTTTCTTTTCTTTTTCTTTTTTTTTTTTTGAGACAGAGTCTCGCTATATCACCTGGGTAGAGTACTATAGTATCACAGCTCACAGCAACCTCAAACTCTTAGGCTTAAGTTATTCTCTTGCCTCAGCCTCCCAAGTAGCTGGGACTACAGGTGCCCACCACAACACCTGGCTATTGTTTGTTGCAGTTGTCATTATTGTTTAGCTAACCCAGGCTGGGCTTGAACCCGCCAGCCTCAGTGTATGTGGCTGGCGCCCTACTCACTGAGCTACAGACACTGAGCCAAGTTAGTACCATCCTAAATGAGTTGGTTAACGTTCCCTCCTCTATTTTCTGAAAGAGTTTGTGAAGAATTTGATTACTTGTTCTTTAAATATTTGATAGAATTCACCAGGGAGGCCACCTGGGCCTTTTCCCCAAGGTCTTTGAGCATGATGAACATAACCCTGACTTGAGCTACAATATAAACTCCACAAAGGCAGGGATTTTTATCTGTCTTCTTCACTGCTATGTTGTTTGTACTGGGCATATAGTTGGCATTCAATAGCTATTGAATGAATGAATGAATGAATTGGGTGAATGAATGAATATGGACAAGCATGCACAACTGAAGCAAGCACCTTTGGGATATCACAGACAAGATGAAAGAAATTAATTTTATCTAAGTGTAAAAAGGGAGCTCGATACAGGATTTTTCTTAGAAAAAATTTTTAGTCACTACTTTCCTATAATAAATACTATATGATTTATATAAAACCAACTTTATTAAGTTTATATTAATAGGTTATTAATAAATTATATTAAGGTATATTAGTAGGGATAGATTTCTACTAAATTATGGAAAAATTATGCAATGATGATATTACCTTAAAGGCACCTAAGGATATTTATACCAACACAGGCAATGTAAACAAACACTTATGGCCTCAGAATTGCCTCTGTAAGCAGCTGGCATGGCTGCACAGTGGAAGAGTTTGAATTCTAACACTTTAGAGTCTGGACTGTGATAATTAGGAAAATGCAGAGACCCTAAGGCCTTAACCACCTGGTTTTGTTTTGTTTTGTTCTCCATATAGTTAGTACAGAAGAAACTCCAAGTCTCCCACCCCAGTGAGAGCCTTATTCAACTAATGGCCAAGGGGGAGAGTGAAGCCCTCTCTCAGATTTTTGCCGACTTGCACCAGCAGAACCAGTTCAGGTACATGACTTAAATCAGGCCAGTCTCTGACAGCCTTCCTGCAACCCAGATGGTCTAGGTGGTAAGATCCAGAAACCAAGTATCTTGGTTAATGAGCACAGGGAGGGGGCATGAAATGGTGCCATTCAGTATCCAATCTTTGTCTCTGACTCAGGGCAGCCTGCCCCAGTTCTCTCTGCCTGCTTTTCCTTCTCCACACAGCAAGCAGGGAAGGCTTGACTCCAGAGGAGGAATTTTATACTACACAAAATGTGGATAACTCTCCAGCAGTGAAAATAAGTTAGTAACACAGGTGGAAAATAAACCCTAATTTCTAAAAGCTAATTTCTAATCCCTTTCCTACTCTAACAGAGAAATAGTCAAAATATTGTTTCTAAACGTTGTCTACTTATTGGACTTACCTACTCACCTGGTCCCCGCTTAGACTTTATGGAGCTTCTTTAGATGTTTTCTAAATATATAGTCTGTTCTGGAAAGCTCCATGGTTTCAGACCCGTCTTCTCCATGCCTAAGGAAATGTGCCTGTATGAACAGATGAGTTAGCCTTGAGTCTCAAGACTGGTTAGTATAAGAAAGGAGTTGAGAGCCCTTAATCCAGAGGGAACCAAAACCAGAGCACCCAGTCCCAGGTAAAGTAGGATCCAGGGCCCTACTGCCTATTATTTGTGGTTTAATATATTAGTAAATGTCACCAGAAGAGAGAAATGAGGTATCAGAGAGAAGGAGATTTTTGTCACAATGGGAACCATTTGGACCAGCAGCTCAGAGGCAGACCAAATCACCTTTCAGAGCGCAGGTAATAAACTGAAAACCAGGAGGGCTCAGAGAAAGCAATCTCTTACAATGGCTAAGAGCTTATGTAGACCTGGACCCAAGTCACTGCTCTGACAGTACTCGAGCATAATGTTTAACTTTTCTGGGCCTCAGTTTTCATATTTATGAAATAGAAATGATAATAATGCCAACCTTTATCCAGCTATTGTCAAGATCAAATGACCTCACATGCATCAGGCACTTAGCATGCTTCTCAGCAGATTTAGAGGCAAATATAAGTAAGCTCTCAAAAAATGTCAACTTGTCTTATTGACTCCAACCTGGGCTGGAGCTAAAAAAGTATTAACACAAGAAAAATCCCTATCTGTTGCACAGTGCAAAGAACATATAGTAGAGATTGTCACTCAATGTATCACACAGAGATCTGTAATTAAGGAACTTCCAGACAAGATGTCACGTTGCTGAGCTAGAGGGCACCAGACTCAAATGGAACAAGATATTTTGAAGCAACTTTTTGATTATCCTCAAAATATTAAATCACTGACTTTTAAATTACTATTTAAAGGACAGCTTCTGTTCCCATCTCACTGGCCATGGCTCAAGTCACCTGGCCACACCCAGCTGCAAGGGAGGCTGGGAAACACATTCTTCACTCTGCATAGCCAGGTGCCCAACACAAAGTTAGCTGCTTTGCCCCTGAGGGAGAAGGGAGGAAGTGTTACTGGGGGCCTACTGGCACTTTCTGGCACCAAGAGCTTTTCATATTTCTAGAAAATCAGGCACATGATTATCTTAATAGATACAGAAAAAATATTTGGCAAAATACACAGCCATTCATGTTTAAAAAAAAAAAAAAACTCTCGATAAATTAGGAATAAAGGGAACTTCCTTAACTTAATAAAAGGCATCTAAAAATATTCCATAATATGTATTATGAAGGAGAAATGGGCAATAGACAGATAAAAAGGTGGAGATGGGCCAGACCGTTTAAGGAAACCAGCAGGTGCTAGACTGGGGCTTCCCTCAGAGGAAGCAGCTTAGTGGAATGGTGGTGGGGAGAGCAGGCAGTGGTGGAAGAGAGTAAGTGGAGAAGTGGGCAGGGGCTACACCAGGCAGGCCTGGGGAGCCATGCAAAGGCATCGGCACTTGAAGTGTCACAGCATTTTCAACAGGGAAGTGATGTGATTCAATTTACATTTTGAAAAGGTCATGCTCTAAGTTGCTGTGACAGTTCATTTGAAGGGAGGGAGAAGAAACATGGAGAGACCAGCTAGGGAGCTATGGCAACCTAGTCTGGGCCATGATGTGCAAAACGGATCAGAAGAATGGGAGAAATGAGGCAGGGAAGAATTAATTTTTGCTTCATTGTTATCTCAAAAAATTGCTTTGTACAGATATTTAGTTCCTTTAGTTTCCCCAAACCAAGCCCTGAGTGGTAATTTTTCTCTTCATTCAGGCATGTTCTAGTCTGGTTGCAATGATTATCAGTTTTTGCACATTGGCAACAACAGGCAACTTAACAGCAAATAAAATAAATGGCTGAGACAGGATTTTGCAGATGCAGCCACTACCCTCCCTCCTCAGCCAAATTAGCAGCATGGACTCTGCTCCCCACGTCCCTCCCCATTCTACCTCCCCCTTCCCTATTTCTCTTCTGGAACTTTAAACATGTGTCACACCCATCTGATAAAGCCACAGCTGGCCTTTTTCATATTGATGTCTGTCTCTGCAGGTTTTGTATCAGGAAAAATGTAAGTAGGAAAAAGATTTGAAATACAAATTTAATGCTCTTTTCCTTTACTTCCAACCTTCAATTCCTTGATTCTGAAATGGCTGGAGTTTCAGGAGCAGCAAAAAGTTGGAGACCAACAAAGACAGCTCAGGTAAAGGAGGGCACGGGTCATCATGAGAACGTTCTGTTCTGCAATGTAAGAATAAGATCTCTCCAGTTCCCCATCCTGACCCCCCTGACACTGTCAGGACGGCCATGGTCCTTCCATGCTTTAGTGTGAATTCCTCAAGGCTTTTTGGCCACCTAGTCAATTTGGCACCAAGTCTTACCAATTTCTCTCTTCACCATGGTTCTTATATTCTTTACTTCATTTCTACCACTGCAGACCCTAACCTAACCCAGCCCTTCTCACCTCAAGCCTGCAGCAATCTTCCACTAGTTCATTCACCCATTTACTCATTCAAAAACAGGAAATGAGCACTTTGTAAGTGCCAATCACTGTGGTAGGCTTTGGGGTCACCAGGTCAAAAGATACCATGCTCCCCTCAAGGAGTTTACAATTTGGTGGAGTCAGATGGGGAAAACCCCACATTACAAAACCTCTCCTTCCAGGCAGCATTCAAAGCTCTTGCCTGGGGTGCCAATGGAGCACAAAGAAGAAGGTGGTGACCCCTCACTCCTTCCAGGAAGCTGGCCTGGGAGACATGGGGTGTGAGCTGAGACTCAGAGGGTGAGGACAGATAAGCTGGCAGAAGCAGATGAGGCAGAGCATTTTAGGAAGCAGAGACAGGGTCTGCATAAGGCAGCGTGACTCATTCTGGAAATAACAGCCAGCTGTTTTCAAGTTGTAGCCCAAATCGAGTTGGTTTAGCATGCATTGCCCTGCATGGCCTTCTCACCCACTCACTCACTGCTCTATCAGGAGTCCAAACCTACTCCAGCAAACCTTAGCTTTGCTTCCCCAAACCTCCTTCATCCCTACTCCACCCTTTTCTCCTAGGAGCCACTCTGAATCTTACCTGCCCTAAATCCTCCCCCTCACAACACTTTTCTGTCCTGACTAATCTCTCCTTGCTTATAACCTCTCTCACGTTATTCCCTAGTTGTTTCCTAGGTTTAAGGCTTATTTCTTCAGTGAATACTAACTTGTTTTCATACCTCTCAATTATCCACAGCGGCAAGCACAATGGGAGTTGATTAAATATCCACATGCTGTACTACTAAGTAAATTATTTCTCCGCATCAACTCAGGAAGCAGTCAGAATATCATGTTATAAGATACTTAGGCTGGATTTGGTGGCTCACGCCTGTGATGCTAGCACTCTGGGAGGCCAAAGCAGGAGGATCCCTTTAGCTCAGTAGTTCAAGACCAGCCTGAGCAACAGCGAGATCCAGTCTCTGCTAAAAATAGAAAAACTGTCCAGGCATTGTGATGGGGACCTGTAGTCCCAGCTCCTTGGGAGGCTGAGGCAAGAGGATCACTTGTGCCCAGGAGTTCAAGATTGCTGTGAGCTATACTGCTGCCACAGCACTCTATCCTGGGTGACGAGTGAGACTCTGTCTCAAAAAGAGAAAAAAAATAGATATTTAGAAATTTCCAAAAGGTTATAGATCCCAGAGGACCTCAGCTAACTTTCGTCCAAACCAAGGATTGCAAACTCACATGTCTTCAGGATGACGTGGACATGAGAAATAGTTAACTTTTGTCTAAATTCTATTGTAAGTAAAACAATCCCTGGCAGCTGACACTTGGTTTCAGCATTGAGTTCAGCACCGAGGAAATGATAGGGAGTGGTGGAGACAGTGGCAATGAGAAAGTGAAGCTTTCAATTAAGGCTTCAATTAATTGTTGCCATACTGGAACCCAGGTCTGCTGTTACTGGATACTTTGATTTTTCGAGAGAAGCCCC